AGCTCCTCTATGGAATATTGTGCAGCTATTAAAAATAGGTCTCTGAGGCCAACCAATAAAATGGCGATTAAGAATGCATAAGAGATGGTGTATATAAAAAAAGATGATTTTTTTTTATCACAATATGTCACACTTGCTTTAAAACATTTAAGGAGGTAGACCAAAATTTCAATAGTTGTAACAGGGTGATAAGCTTGTGGGCGATATTCTCCTTGATTCCCCACACCTTTTGCTGGGTTGTCCTATTCCTTTAAAACTGCAACAAGAATTCTTAAAATATATACATTCTACGTGCCTCCCCCGCAGATGGCTCCTGGAAGAGATGAGATGGTGTGCATGAGACGCCCGAGGCTGAAGCCTGACTCAGCAGCGTGCGGACCGGGGCGAACCTGGGCCCCGGGCCGCAGGGATGCGATCCCGCCCCTGCCCGGTTCCTTCTTCCCCGGCCACCGCCGCGCTGAGGAGCTCAGCGTGCAGAGGGCCCAGCCCTCCAACCCAGCCCCCGACCGCGCTGCCCACCCCCCGGCCACCCTCCCTGCGACCTTTCTCCTCGGCAAGAGGAGACCTCTTGCGAGCGTCCCCCGGCCGCCCACTCCGCGGCCCGCGTACCTCTTGCAGGGGATCAGCGCCTTGCGCTCGTCCAGCACCCGCACGCGCTGGTTGAGCCCGTCGTAGGAGAGCAGGGCGCGGCTGTTGCGCCCGCTGCTCTGCCGGTACAGAACCTGGCGGCCCTCCCACTGCTGCGGCGCCTGGCACGGACGCGGGGTTCCCGGGGCGCCCCCGGCCCCCGCCCCCAGCGCCGTCGCCCCCAGGCCGCAGAGGCCGCCCAGCGCCCAGAAGCAGAGGCCGCCCAGCAGCCAGGCGCCCAGGGCCTCCCGGGCCACGCCGAGCCGAGGGCGCCCCGACATCGCCGACCGCAGCGCCCGCCGCCCCCCGAGAGCCAGCGCGAGCCGCAGGGGGCGCTGAACCGCGCCGCCGCCGCGCAGCCTTGGGCCGGGTGCGGGAGTGCGGTCCCAGCGAGCTGGCTGCCTCCGGCCGCAGCCCACCCCCACCTCCGGTGGTTGGGGTCAGGCGCGCGAGGTGCGGGAGCCGGGACCAGGGCCTGGGAAGGCCCGGGTGAATCGCGGGAGCGGTTCCTGCTTGGGCTGCTGGCCGCTGCGGCTTCTGTTTCCACTTGCTCTCTGCTGCCAACAGGAAATGCAGTGGCAGCGGTGCCACTAGCATCCTGAAGGGCATCCGCGTTTGAGGGGGGCGGGGTGAGGAGCGGGATGGTGGGAAGGAATACGTGTCTCCACTAACCGAAGTGGGAGGCAGGTAACCACATACTAGGAGGCAGTCAAGTCCAAGGTCGGGAAGGCCAGGCTACTGCACTTGCTGTGTCCCCACACAGCTTGACCCTTTGTCAAAATTGACAGCTTCTTCCTCCAAATTAGAAATGGAAAGAAGGGTCCCTTCCTCAAGAAATGACGTCAGTCATTCATCCTGACCCTTTTCCTTTTCTTAGTATAGAGCCCAGGGGGCTAGGGGACAAGCCCTGGCTGTCGGGCATAGGACTGAGTCAGGGACAGCACCTTGAGGCCACACTTGCAGTGAGACTGCTACCCTCACCCATAACCTGACAAGACCACAACCCCAGAGGTATGTGACTCCGGGATTTTAGCATCAAGAACAAAGTTAATTGGGTTTATGGTTTATGTTTTGTAATATTAGGATGTACCATATGGAATTAAGAAAAAGAAGCAACTTAAAAAAAAAAGACCCTTGCTTTCCAAATGTATAGCATCTCTTCAGTTGATCTGTGTTTCATGAATGACGAAGTGAGCCAGGTGAAAGAGGGAGAGAACATTCCTGGATGAAGGACATGAGCACAAGGGAACATGGGTGTAGCACTTTTAAGGAGAGTAATTTAGAGCCAGATCACTCAGGGCCTTGAAAGCCAGGGAGGGGCACCATCAGGCCTAAGTCTTAGGAAGCTGGGTCAGATGTGAGGGTGGAGAATGGGCAGGGAGAAGGAGGAGGGAGATGTTGTTATAAATGAGATGAGGGACAGTGACGTCCGAAATGAGAGGGTGGAACAGAGCTGAGGGTAGAACAGAAGGAGGAAGAGCTTTCTGGTTTGGGGCCCTGGGAGTTCAGTCCTGAATGAGGAAAGAAGACAAATCAGTTTTGGATTGGTTGACTCTGAGATGCCTGTGGGATGTGCAGGTGGAAATACCCCAGGAACAGTTGGATAAGCACTTCCAGAAAGCAGCAGGGCTAGAGGGCTGGTTTGGGAAGCAATCGGCATCTGAGTGATAACTGAAACCAAAGAGGAGAACAGCAGGGGAGACCGTTGGCGATATCTAGAGAAATTGATTGTCATAGTGGGGTGGGGACTAAGCCGCCGCTGGCATCTAGGAGGCCAGAGATGCTACTAAACTTCCCATAATGCACAGGAGCCAATAAAGAATTATCTGGCCCCAGTGTCAGGAGTGCTGAGGTTGAGACTCCTGGAGAGGCAGGGCGTGTCGAGAGCGAGGACTGGGCATGAAGCCCAAGCAGAGCAGCAGGCCTTTAAGGAGACTGAAAAGGAACTGCCAGAGAGAAGCCACTGACCAGGGGAACTTCCTCAGTTACGTGAGCTATTGGCAAATCAGTGCAAAGTACAGGGTAATGGATTGAGTGCTAAGGCAGGGCCTGAAGACAGAGGCCAGTTGATGGAATCTCCTGATGACTCCTTCACTGCTGCCCCACCCCAAGTAGAAGCACTAAAGACCGGCTGCCAGTGGACCTCCTGGTGGGGGGGGGGAGAGATTTATAGAGAGGGCCTCTTAACTTCTCCTCCCCCCTTCTTAAAGGACATGTCCTGGGGAACATCAGGGCAATGCCTGCAGTGTTGTGACTTGGTACTTGCTGGGACAGACGCAGCAGGTTCCAGCTGGCTGCGCCAAGGACAGCCCTTTCCAAGGTCGCCTCTTCCACCAACTCACGGGAAAAGGAGCCCGAGTTCAGCTGTTTCTCAAAACTGTATTTTCTTCCCCTGTAGGAATTGTGGCTGCAAATATTTTTCACTAAGCCAGGGGGTTTAGACTCATTGGATTTGACTGCTGCAAATGACTGAAGATGTCATCTGGGTTATCCCCTTTGCGTGATATTTCATTGGCCTGGTCTGGCATCCTGGGAGCTTGAGACTTATCTGGAAATACCTCTTTAGGTTGGCGTGGCTGTGTTTGGACGCTCTGGGCTTCCCCTAAACAGAACCCGACTCCTTGGATGAATCCTGAAATATATTTGTCATTTGTCCTCTCAACTTACCATGTTTAATTCATGTTCCCTAAAAAGATAAGATAGTGCATTTAAAGAGCCTAACACCACGCCCAGCCCATTGTAAATGCTCAATAAAATGCCAGCTGTATTTTTTGTTCTTTGGGCTATTTTAATTCTTAGTCTTGGTCAGAGTCAAAATTAAACTAACATTGTGGGTCTGAGCTTTGGAGCCAAAAAAAAAAAAACAAAAAACAAAATGAAAAAACAACTCTCTGCCATATGTTCAGATTTCTAATTGAACTATGCTTTTATGTTTTTTTTTTAAAGATTTTATTTATTTATTTGAGAGAGAGAGAGCACAAGCTGGGGGAGCAGTGGGGGGAGAAGCAGACTCCCTGTTGAGGAGGGAGCCAGTGCAGCTCAATCCCAGGACCCCGACATCATGACTTAAGCCTAAGGCAGCCGCTTAACTGAATCAGCCTCCCAGGCGCCCCTGAATTATGTTTTTAAAGATTAACATTCAGAGACCACGTTTTCATATTCTAATGCCCTAAGAAAATATCATATACCAGAAATCTTACTGCTGAAGACTGATGTACATTTGCAACAATAAAGCCTGCGTTTCCTGTGGAGACCTGCGCCAGCAGTTGGTTTTATTACCTTTTCCTAATAAAAAATAAGAGAAAAGAGAACACAAAACATACACATTTGCCTTCCACGGTACACAACTTCTTAAGTAGTTTCAAGCACATCAAAAATCAAGATTCTAGGCTGCTGGGTTGGAAATCGCTTGGCATGAAGGGGGAAAAAAATCTTTCAGCTTGTGGTGTCCGGTGCTCTGTTTTCTCCTGGGTTCCATTCACACTGGAGAGAGGAATAAGGAGTGAGAAGAAGGAAGGGGAATGTTGGCGGAGGGAATACATTCCTAAACTAGAAGATGCTATTATTGCACCTTCCGGCAGTTCTGTTCCTGGAGCAGGTACAGACCAAATGCCGTTCTGGAAAAACCTGAGCCGAAACTCATGTCTTCTAGTCACAACAAAAACAACAAAACCCAACTCCGTACAACGGGGCGGGGGGCGGGGGGGGGGGCGTTTGTTTATATAACGTGCCCATCCGGTCCCACACAGTAGTCTCGCCGCTTAGCGCTTCTCATGCCCCCTACTGGAGAAAGCAAGCATGATTCAGAATTAAAGGGCCGCAGAAGTTCCCATTTCCCTCCAACTCTGTACTTGGGGAACCTCTAAGGCAGAGAGGGCGCAAAGTTCAGCTTTGACCCAAATAGCGTCTTCGCCTCTCCTGCACCCTCTTGGATCCGGTGTCCAAAACGACTGCCAGACTCTGTTTCTTGGTGCGAAGAAAAAGGACTGGCCAGACTAAAAAGGAGGGACTTTGGGGAAATGCAGGATTCCAGCCCTGGGCTGAGGCCCGGAGGAGATGATGTCACCGCTCCGGCAAAGCGAGGGCTGGTGGGGGGGGGGGGGGTGCGGGTGCGGCCTAGGGGGAGCCCGCGCCGCGCCCGCCGCTGCCAAGGGAGCGTTCCGGGCCCACGTCAGGGGACGTGTCGGGATAAATAGGGTCCCGCAATGGCCGAGGCCGGCTGCGCTCGGAGCTGCCGGGTCGGGGACTGGAGCTACCCGGGCGGGTCCGCGCCCCGCTGGCTGAGGGCTGGCGCTGCTCGCGTTCGTTGCGCCGGACGCCGGATACCCCCCGCCGCTCCCGCGGCCCCGCACCGCTGCGAACCGCAGCGCGGGCGGAGAGCCTCTCCCGTGCCCCCGAAGGACTTCCTCCCCGGGGAAGGGAGGACGAGAGACTAGGGGGGCAGCAAGCCGGGGGCCCCTTCTGCCGGTCGGGGCGGCAGCGCGCCAGCGCAGTGCCATGCTGCTCTCCGTCCTAGCGGCGCTGTGCCTGGGGCTGCGCCTGGCGCTCGGCGTGCGCGGCGCGCCCTGCGAGGCGGTGCGCATCCCCATGTGCCGGCACATGCCCTGGAACATCACGCGGATGCCCAACCACCTGCACCACAGCACGCAGGAGAACGCCATCCTGGCCATCGAGCAGTACGAGGAGCTGGTGGACGTGAACTGCAGCTCGGTGCTGCGCTTCTTCCTCTGTGCCATGTACGCGCCCATCTGCACGCTGGAGTTCCTGCACGACCCCATCAAGCCGTGCAAGTCGGTGTGCCAGCGCGCGCGCGACGACTGCGAGCCCCTCATGAAGATGTACAACCACAGCTGGCCCGAGAGCCTGGCCTGCGACGAGCTGCCCGTCTACGACCGCGGCGTGTGCATCTCGCCGGAGGCCATCGTCACTGACCTCCCCGAGGGTGAGGCGGAGGGGAAGGACCGAGGGGGCGAGGGGCATTCTTGGCTGTTGCTGCCACGTGAGAACCGGGCGACCACTTCTCCCGATGCCAGTGGGTGGACGGTCAGCACCCCCCACCCCACTTCCGAGGGTTGGGGGAGGTGGGAAGGGCTGGTGACCTGACTTTGGGGAAAAGTCTGGTTTCCCTAAAGGAATTTCGGAAGCTGAAGAACACCACGTCCCATAGATTATGTGTGTGCGGGGTGAGGAGGTGCTTATAAGTGAGCCACTGGGGGCATTGTTATTGACAGAGAAAAGCGGCAATGGCAGGTGGGGCATAGGATGGGGCTGAGCCAGCGTTAAGCACTTTACGTGTATCGTTTAATCCTGAAAACAGTCCCACCAGGATTCTCCAGTTAGTGTCAGCTCTTGAAAACTCTTGCCGAAAAAGGCAGTACCAGTCATCACTCCCCACCAGGAGTGCAAGTTTGTAAATTTAGTCGTTCTGGAAAATTGTGACGTCGGTTTCATAGTCAAACTCTGTGGCGTCTTCGTTAACTGGATAACAATTTTTGCTTCCTTTTTTTTTTTTTTGTCATTTTGCCGCTTTTCTAGGATGAAGGAGCAAGTTTAATTCCATTTCTTGAAATGAAACCTAAGAGCATTTTGCATGCTTTTATCCCTGACCCAGGTTCCTGCACATTTAAAGAGATTATGGTGTTGCTTCAGTGTAGTTTTTGAGGTTCTATCTCAGAGCATTGCCCAATACATGAAGGGGAAGTAAAGTGAAGGGAAAATCGAAACTCCTCTCTAATTCAAAGCTTTAGAAAAAAAAACATATTTATTGCTTACATTATATAAATGATAGAGGGTTATGCTTTGGGGGATTTACATATAGCTGTGGACTGTTTCTGCACTGCAAAAGGAGAGGTGATGATCTGGAAATATTCTGGACATTTTGATTAGTGTCAACTGTCAACTTGGAAAAACCAACATTTTAAAATGGATTTGGAAGGGAAGCTAGCTGTGTGTATCAGCCAAGTCAAATGGACACACATTCACATCAATTTGTGCTCAATGGGTAAAATCGCGCTCAAAATTCTTCTTTCCTAAGCCCAGGAATGTCTGTGTGAAAGAGGTAGTCGACAGTCATATGCACTTTTACGTTGTAGTATTCTTCTTTTGTGATACTGTGCTAGGGTGTGTCTCCAGACAGTTCTTTTTTCCAGCTGGGTGAACAGGCTAAGTCACTGACCACACCCATGCGGCTCTGTGTGTGTTTCAGACGTTAAGTGGATAGACATCACGCCAGACATGATGGTTCAGGAAAGGCCTCTTGATGTTGACTGTAAACGCCTAAGCCCCGGTGAGTTCTGTCACCTTGAGGTTCCCTTTCTGCCTTCCCCCCAGAATGGTTTCAGGACACTTTTCCAACTTCTCGTCTCTCTCTCATCTCCTTCAGACCGTTGCAAGTGCAAGAAGGTGAAGCCCACTCTGGCGACATATCTGAGCAGAAACTACAGCTACGGTAAGTCATCGGACACAACCATTCACTTGAGGACTTGCCACGTTACAAAGCCAGCCACAGAGCTGATGACAAAGGGTTTACTTATGTGGGTTCTCGACGTGGGTTCTCGATGGCACAAAGACAACTGTAAAATGTCTTGCTCTTTTGGGTAAATTAAGCAAAACCAAAGTAGATTACCCAGGGAGAACAGTGATGTGGATCAGAGCACAAATTTGCCTTCGAGGTCCTCCTTGTCTTAGGGAAAAAGGCCACTCAGCCAGGCCAGCCCATCTGACCTGTTCTCTTCCTGAGGTTTCCTAAAGGATGGGTGAGTGATCCATGGGCTGGATTATCTGAGGCCCAGAGGCCCAGGAACTAAGACCTGCCCATGTTTCTTTTTACTTATAAATACCTGTAAAAAAAAAAAAAAAAAAAAACCTGTAGATATTTAACATCTTAAAGGAATTGCGGGGAAATATGTACAAGTATTGACATGGTTTAAATCCCTTCCTCTCTTACTGGAAAGAACAGTCAGCACATTCTTCAAAGAATCAGGCTATTTTTAATTTTTTAAGTAAATTTAATTCTATTATCATTTGAAAGTAAATTTAATTAAAAATATGTTCTTTTAAAATATCTATTTGGGCTCCTATATGTACCTTTGCATCTCTTAAATTACTTCTGCTGAAATAACAGGAACTGTTTAGGCAAAATGGTCATTTTATTTGTTAACTTTGTTTTCCGTAATTCAAACTGAAATTTTAAATCATGAACTTTATGTAATATTTCATATGTGAAAGTAGGAAGATCATGGCCATATAAAAGACTGAAGGGGAGCCTGGGTGGCTCAGTCGGTCAAGCGTCTGCCTTCAGCTCGGGTCATGATCCCAGGGTCCTGGGATTGAGTCCCACATCAGGCTCCCTACTTGATGGAGAGTGTGCTTCTCCCTCTCCCTCTCCCACTCCCCCTGCTTGTGTCCCCTCTCTTGCTGTGTCTATGTCAAATAAATAAATAAAATCCTAAAAAAAATTAATTAAATTAAAAACATAAAAGTCTGAAAAACATAACCTTTTATTTGAATCGTAAGATTTGAGATTATACATAGCCAATGTGGGTAACTCAACCAAAGGAAAAAAAAAAGCACTGTCTTTTCCAGTAGCTTTCATTGTTGTTGTTTTAAAACTGTTCTTTGTAGATATTGTCTTAATCTAATCTGCTTTTTGTCTCATCTGACACTATCCAGCCCTCCTTACTAACCGGAGTTTCACTGTCTTGCTGTTGTCCATAACTACTTTGATGATGAAACGATTTCTATTTAAGTCCTTTGGCTTCTTCATAAACCAGCTTTCTAGGACGGAATCCAAGACAGATCCGTGCGAGGCTGATTACAATTCCATGGAAGGCAGTAATAGCAAGGGACCAAAAGGGCCAGAATTTTTAAAGCTTGATCAGACATGCTGATGTTAACAGCCATCTGTAATAACAGTTATACTTCTGCTCACCACAGACCTGGCTTTGACAGTCTGTGCAATTAAAGGATTGAGAGCAGTGATCTTCAGAGACTCCTTCCAGTTCAAAAATGTTATGATTTAATAACTTCCTTTGGAAGAGAGGAAATTCAAGCATCAGATGGGTAGTTGGACCATACAGACTTTAAAGTGGCTTCTGAGGGGCGCCTGGGTGGCTCAGTCGGTTGAGCGTTGGACTCTTGATTTTGGCTCAGGTCATGATCTCCTGACCTTGGGCTCCGGGCTCAACAGGGAGTCTGCCTGAGATTCTCTTTCTCCTCCTTCTCTGTCCCTCCCCCCACACGCTGTCTCTCGCAAATAATACATCTTAAAAAAAAGTGGCTTCTGAACTCAAGAACATATGATCCTCACTTCAGATGATCACAAGGCAGAGGATCAACAAATATTGATGTTCCTGACATGAATTTCCAGGTAGGATTTGGGCAAACAAACATGCAAACAAACGGGACTAATTTTAGGATTTTGAGGCTGGGAACAATCTGTGCCATTCTTTATCAGCTGCAGCCGATGCGGAGCAGTGGCCGAGCCAGTGGCAGAGCCCCGCGGGAGCCTGCTCGTCCCCCCACTCCTGCACTCTGCTGCAGGATCCGGGCCTCGGCAGACAGTGCTGACAATAGGATTATGTGGGCTCCTTGCCTGCGTCTGGGCAGCTTGGACATGACCATAATTACAGGAGGGATTCTTTAAGAGAGGCTCAGGAGTTGGCGCAGATGCACCATCCTTCTTTGTCTCCCAAGGCTTCATCAACACTTCTGTCACTTTTTTCAATCGCAGTCATTCATGCCAAAATAAAAGCCGTGCAGAGGAGTGGCTGTAACGAAGTGACCACCGTGGTGGACGTGAAAGAGATCTTCAAGTCCTTGTCCCCCATTCCTCGAATGCAGGTCCCACTCATCACAAATTCTTCCTGCCAGTGTCCTCACATCCTGCCCCACCAAGACGTTCTCATCATGTGTTACGAGTGGCGCTCCAGGTAGGCACAAAGGGGCAGAAGCAACTGCACGCTGCTTCGAGAAACGTGAATCTCATTTAGCAGGGATGGTTTATTAAAAAAAAAAAAAATGGCACCAGTAGTTCTTTTTTAAAAGACAACTAAATAAATAAATAAACAAATCGATCATTTTAATAGATGCCTCTGTTACCATATCACATATCCTAAATATCATTGAATTCCTCATGGTATTAAGGAAAAATCGAAATAGGACTATTTGAATGGAATCTTTAAAAATCAAGCCCAGAATTCATTAAGCGACTTCAAAAATCGTAGGCAGATAAACTACTATGAGTTAAAACAGTTCTTTTCAAACCATTCAAATCAATCTTAGTGTGGCAAATCCTGAATATTTTTTAGGAGCTCTTTAACAACTTACAGATCGAGTAAAGACGGCCATTTGAGATGACAGGTCCACATTTTCCTAATATACAATATAAATGTACAGTATTTGTTTGATAAACCATTACACACACACACAGTCAGACTCACACATACGCATATCTCTGGGAGTGTGCTTCCCCACCTCTCTTTCCTTGGCATCTTTTTATATACTGGTACATTCCTTGTAATGGAAAAATCAACCTCTTCAGACCAGGTTCCAGGAAGGACCCCATAACTTGCTGCAGGACACATCTCCAGCAAAATGACTCCTTTTTTATATAACTAGTCTTCCCTTTGATTCCCTGCCATTAATGCTTATCTGTTTCTTCTGGATACAGCTATGGACTGTTTCGCCAAAACCCCTTTTGAAACTGACCTCACTTGAATACTTCCTTGATCTATATCCTGTCAGTATTTGGGTACCATCCTCGCACTGTGTATACCACCTTGTGTTCTTGGCTTTAAAACTATTCTTCTACTTACACCTTGTCTCTCTGAAGAAGTTGAATGAATGAATGAATGTTGACTGAATGTTTCTGGGCTCATCTCTTGCATAGTGTTTGTATCTGCTACAGAATGAGATGCGGTTCTGGGACTCTACCAGACTGCTAGTCATTAAATCCTATTGGGACAGATGAATGGATTATAAATGAATTAAATAGCATCTTTCCTGTCATCCTTTCTGTTCACTTATAGACTTAATATAATTCTGATGAAAATACCAGTAAAAATATTTTTGAATGACTGGGAGTTATGTCTTCATAATTGATGCTGATGATCATTTGGAGGAACAAACGGGCAAGGGCATGTAAAGGAGATTTTGAAAATACCATTTGAAAGGAGATCTACTTAGGAAAAACAGAAAACTGGTACTGAGCTACACTTGCTAATGCCATGTGGGGCAGGAGTACACATGTAGGTAAATAACACAGAGGAAACAGTCTTGAAACAGATTCTAATGCATAAAATAACTGATTGTGAAGGAGATATGGCAAATCAATTGGACATGAATATATTATTTAGTAAATGTTGCAAATATTTTTATTTGGAAAACTAGTACATATTTTCACTTTATACTGTACTATAAAATAAATTTCAAATGGATTAAAGAGCTATTTTTAAAATGTAATCATAGAAGATAAAATTAGGTGAATAGATATGTGAAATCTGAAGGGCAAAATACTTTGCAAACATGAAATTAACGTAAGAAATTACAAGGGCAAAATGTCAATATATACTTTTGATGACATAATATCATGGACATAAAAATTACCCAAAAAGGCCAATAAATACTGAGAAAAATATTTGCAATAGTAACCTTACTGTATAAAGAGGTCATGTAAGTTCATATTTGATACATTAAGACTACAATATATAAATAATGTGTACATAAATCTATATGGACAAGTTCCAGAAGAAATACAAATAGTATTAAATTTACCTCTTTAATTCTCCAACCCAGATTAAAAAATAATTTGAACGAAAGTTCAACATTCTGAAAACAATTTGGCACTGTGCTTGGAAAACCTTGAAAAAAGACATTTTTTTTTAAAGATTTTATTTATTTATTTGATAGAGAGAGACACAGCGAGAGAAGGAGCACAAGCAGGGGGAGTGGAAGAGGGAGAAGCAGGCTTCCCACGGAGCAGGGAGCAGATGCGGGTCTGGATCCCAGGACCTGGGATCATGACCTGAGCCGAAGGCAGACACTTAACGACTGAGCCACCCAGGCACCCAAAAAGACATATTTTTTGACCCAGTAATTCTACTTTCAGAAATCTGTCCTAAGGCAATAATGAGTCAGTGCACACTAGTATATATATACAAGGACATTCGACTCAATGCTGGTAATAGTAGCTAAGCAAAAGGAGGTTCAACAGTAGAGAAAGGCCTAAGTGCATATATATATATATATGTATATATATATATATATAAGATGCATATCATTGTTGAAAGATTTTATGGTTATTAAAGCTGTATTTTTTAATTATTCTAATTATATGAGAAAATACATAGAATGATAAAAAATGTACAGTATGATCTCAATCTACAGTGTGATCTAAACACACACACACACATATATATATATATATATATATAGGGACAAGGAAGAATAAAAGGAAATGCTAGTAAAATATGAATGGTATACATGTGGTGTGTACAGTTAAGAGTTATAAAGAATTTTGGTTTTTTACAAATTTTGGGGTTTTTAAACTTTTTCCTTTCATAATCAGAATTGCTCAAGATCAATTACTTTTTTTCAGGATGATGCTTCTTGAAAACTGTTTAGTTGAAAAATGGAGAGATCAACTCAGTAAAAGATCCATAGTAAGTATAATTAGCAACACTACCAATATGGAGTTAAGGGCATGTGAAGAAATTCTTTAGAGCTGGGGGATTCTTCACATTCTTCTATCTCCAGGCTCTGGGGTGTGGGGCCGTAATAGGAGCCCTGTTTGCCTTTTGAATAAGTAGTTAAGACCACAGCTATTCTGACTTGGAAGCTATAGCATCAACCTCTCTTCAGCCTCAGAGGTGATTTGGTTGCATTCAATACGGATCGACTGATTATTTCCAGGTTAAATTAGGTTGGTTTTTTTTATCTCTTTATGGTATTTTATTTAACTATTTTAGCGAAATCAGTCAGGTACTTGAGCAGAATTAACATCCAGAGGGCTTAAAACAGACATAGACACATAAGGGTGTGAATACGCAATTCTAAAATTCATTCTGTCTCTGGACAAAGCATAATCTTTCCCTGTATTTAAGATAATTTTGAGACTCTTGTCAAAATCAATTATCTACAAACTGTAATCATTCTTTGGCCAAATCCATGATTTTAGTGGCAACATCATGGAAATATTGGTAATTCAATTAAGGGAGTTAGAATAATTTTTTTGCCCAGAGATATGAGATTACACCAGAACTAAAGAAATCAGGTCATTGGTTGGAAATGTTTAAAGCGTCCCCTCTCCTGAAAATACGTTTAGATGTATCTAGGAGAATTTGTGTTCTCAGGTTCACGAAAGGTCTTACTACAGCCTGGGGCCTCTCAGTTTGCAAGGTAAAAGGCTACATTAATAGTGACTTAGGGAGAAGGTAGTTTGAACACAGCCTCTCCTACTCCGTGCATTTCGGAATAACATGACGGTCACATCTGAGCTAAAAACTCAGGAGCTGCTCAGCCTTACTGGACAGAAAATTCTAGCAGGATTGGTTATCCAGTTTCCAGGACTACCGTAGATTAGAAACATCAATGTAGAAAGTCAGTCCACCATAAGAACCTGAGAGGAAAGCAAGCTTTCAGGAATCACAGAGCTGTTTGGGCCATTCACTTTTGCAGCAAACATTCTAATATGCTTCAGTGAGAATTTGAAGCTAGCACCATGTAATAGCAAACCTGATGAGTTCATTATTTCAGAACAGACTAGACTTGTGCCCTGGGAGGGTGGGGACCGGGTTTCTCATTTCGCTGCATTCCTAGTGCCTCAGACAATGCCGGGCCTGTGGTCATGCTCAAACTCTTTGCTGAATGAAATACACTCTGACCAAGTAGGGGCGTATAGGTTATGCTAAAAGGCGATGTCTATTTAAGTGGACCCACTTTTTCAGTTTTTTCTTACATGCTGCTCTCAGTATTTCTTTATAGTATTAGTATTTCTTTATAGTATTTCTTTATAATATAAGCAGTGAGTCCTTTTCTATGAAGGAAACAACTATCCAGAAAGTCTCATTTCTCATCGGTTCTGGGTGGCTAACACTGAGCAGATTACTAGAGGCAGGAGGGGCTTCTGTCTTGGATGGAAGAGCATTAGGTGAACCCACCCACAAATGCGCTGGGAGATCCCCTGTCCTTCCTCGTGGGCTGGGTAAACTTCTGCTCTCTGCCATGTCAGAGCCTCTTTAGAAGGCGTTGCAGTGCACAAATGTCGCCACACAGGGCCGCGGGGCAAAAGTGCCTGGCCTGGGGCCTTGGGCCCCGGAGTCAGACTGATGAATTTGGTTCCCAGCTCTGACGTTTGTCAGCTGTGTGACCGGCTGCAAAGGAGCCGTGTGTGCCGTTTCCTAGCCACCACCATGGTGTTCAACCTAGCAGGGCTGTTGGGAGCTTCCGTGAAATGGATGGGTATCGAGACTTCATCCCATCTTGAGCACTTTTCAAATCTTCTGGTGTGTGCCAAGTGCCCAGCAATGCAGGCTGGCGATTTTATTCGTTGTTGTCTCAACTCAGCTCCTACAGGGGGGAAAAAATGGCATCGATTCTGACATCAGTTTCCCAGCGTTACACAGTGCGATGTCTCTGATGGTCATGTGTGCAAATTGCCTCCCAGCAGTGGGAAGAGAGGCTGCAAGAACAGCAGAGGACCGTTCAGGACAAGAAGCGAACAGTGGGGCGTACCAGTCGTAGCAACACCCCGAAGCCAAAGGGAAAGCCGCCTGCTCCCAAACCAGCCAGCCCCAAGAAGACCATTAAAGCTAGGAGTGCCCAAAAGAGAACAAACTCCAAAAGAGTGTGAGCCAGCCGCCTTCCAGAACGGAGACTGCCTCTCAGGCCGAGGCCAGGCGCTGCCCAGCCAGCCTGGGGAAGGCCCCACTCCCCTTGCCTTAACAACTGCAGAACTCCTCCTACACACATCTTGAAGCATTTTTCTTAATGATCTGCTTCCATTTTTCTTTTTCAGCCACCACAAGCCGTAGTGGTAGGTATGTCCTTTGGTGTGGAAGGTCTATGAAAGCTGAAAGCTGGTGGACAAAGCTTCTGGCGGCATTCAGAGTAGCCTTTGTGGGGCCTACTCTGGGACATCTCTGTTTGGGGAAAAGATGCTTTTGGTTCTTACCATTTGACCTAATATGTGCATTGTAAAATAAATGCCATATTACAAACAAAACACTCATTTTTCTTTTCACAATATGTTTTATTTCAGTTTGACTTGTGCTGTTAGAAGGTTCGTGATATTCTAAGATGTGATTGAAAATACAATGATTCTAAGGAGGAAGGCAAGAGGAATGAATGTCTAAAAGATCTTTATGTGTTTGCTGTTCGCAGAAGAATTTCTGTGATGAAAGGAGGATATGGAAAATTGAGGTATTGAGGAACAATCTAGAAAAGCAGGATATGGAAAATTGTAATGATTTTTTTTTTTTTACAAAGAACCCTTTCAGCTCATTTTTAGCTAGAAACCTTAAAAACTAAAATAATAATAATGATAACTAAATAAATAAAAGGGAAAGGCAGACACACCACATCTGGATCCTTGTTTCCTGGCTACCATGCCGGGGGTGGCAAGGCTCTGAATTCACATTCATGATGCTTCTCATTAGTAATCATTATGTGACACCAGAAACAGAATTCGTTTCTCTATTACGATTTATGCACCAGTGACTCAACCCCCAAGAATTTTACACCCCTGGATGTGGTGCTTTTCTCATCTCCCAGGACATCCTAGGTATCTTGATGCCAAGCCTGAGAGAAATTTTCTCTCTGCGGAGAACTGGTGCTTAAGGTCCCGTGGGCCCAATGGGGGGAGGGCCAAGCCTCCAAAGTCCCTGCTTCTCAGCCCGCACTGGTACCCCTGCCACACACCAGCTCTGCGCTTGGAACGACAACTACAGTCACCTCTCCATTCAAGGAGGTAGAGGAACAATCTGAAAGCTGAAGTATAAAATCTCCTTTAGCTTTCCCAATGTCCCTGCTTCTCAGAGAAGGCATGAAGTGACCTGTCGTACTCACACAAGATCATTAGACACATAATCTCCTTTCATCTCTGTAGCCATTGAGACACAGAAGTGAGGTGTGTGGGTAAGCCCAGGGCAAGTGGAGAAATGGGGTTAATAAGAATGTGGGCATGGGCTCCCCTCTTCTCTGTCACTACCACAGGGCACTGGAGTTGGAGGAGTCCATTAGATGGACCCACATTAGCGTACCAATAAAATACTCAGTGTATGTTTCTGCTCCATTAGAGGCCAAACTTCTCTGGCCCTTAAGGAAAGCAGGAGAGGGGTTCAGCATAGCATCCTCAGCATATGCAAGGCCGTTAAAAGGAATTGGCAGCCTAGCCTACTTCCTCAGTGTTGTAGGGATTCTCTGGGGAGGGGAATCAGAAATGGAACTCTCCATGGAAGTGGAGAAAAAAACATATGTAAAAAAAAAGTCAACACCCTAAGTACAATCCTGAAGGTTATAAGAGTTTGGAGAGGACTACATATTTAAACATTGTTTAAATATTTAACTGAAATTGCATACTGAATATTAGATGAGTGTAATACTTCATTAGGAACATTAACACATTATACAATACTTAGCTAAGCACACTTATACATTAGACAAGATGTAACTGGGCACATATATCAGTTTGATTAAATGAGAAAAGATGAACCAGGCCACTTGATTTATTTATTATGAAAAAGTCAAAAGCAAACATCAGCCCACACTGAGGGTAATGTGACAAGTACAGTAGTGGCCTTTGTGTGAGAGCCAAAAGTTTCTTTCTCTCCCTTCAATATTTTCTCCATCGAAAGACATGTGAGAGGAGGAAAATAAAAATATATGGAAAGGAAAGCTGAGGTATTGAAATGAGAATTGTTTGAGAGTTGGATTACTTTAGTGAGGAAAAAAATAACTTATTTTGCAATATTTGGATCAGCAAATCTCATAATTAAGGACAACTGCAGGCATTTATTTTTTTCAATAATTTTGTTGGTCTTTTAATAATATGGTAAACATGTATTTTCTATAAAGTATTTAATAAATGCATAAAATAAAAATAGTGGAATTAAAATCCTACCTTATCCTACTCATTGCTATGCAGAGGTAATCACTGTTCGTATTTTGGTATACAATTTTCCAGGTGTTTCCTATGCATTTATGTAATGATTTGAGGGAAAAAAACCTAGGAGCTTATTATACATACTGTTGATTAACCTTCCTTCTTCACTCAGCCTCTTATTCAGACTGGTTCTCATGTCAATAAAGCTGATTGCCACCTCATTTATAATGGCTCTGTTGTATTCCATGGTATGCGTTACTCGACAAACCCTTATGTTATTAGAGATTCAGGTTGTTTCTTAACTGAACATACTGAATAACTGAATCGACATCTTGATAACTAATATCTGTGCACATCCTTAATTAGTTCTTCAGGAGAAGTCAGTTTAAGTAGCGTTGCTGGGCCAAGGGGTATGCCCACCAAGGAAAGTTCTTGATTATAGTGCCAATTATCCATCAGGATGTTGGATCACAGATAGGCAAAAATGCTAACCTTCCAAATCCTCACTAAGATTGTTTCACCCTGTCAATATTTCTTTATAAATTTCAGCTGGGAACTGGATGTCACCTTGGGCAAAGCTCTGCTCTTCCTCTGTGAGCCATCACTGACAACATTCTCAACTCTCCAAATACTCAGAAGCTGGGGGATGAGTAATGAAGCACCTCATAGAGGGTAGAGTCGATAGAGAGATGATAAATAAGATAGAGAGATAGGTAGATGATAAATTTCTTAACTTCTGGGGAAAGCCTTTGCAAACTTCTCAATTTTTTTCATGAATCAAATTTAATAGTATAACTGGTCAGCTAGAGAAACCAAAGAATTAGGGTGTAGCAGACATGCCAATAGATTTCCCCTCAGTCCAGTCTTATTTTTAAGACACGTGAGAATATAAATAACCTTAGTTTCTTCCTTTCTAGTTGGAAACCAAAGCAGTGTAGGACACCTGGGTGGCTCAGTCGGTTAAGTGTCTGCCTTCAGCTCAGGTCGTGAGCTCAGGGTCCTGGGATCGTGCCCCACGTTGAGCTCCATGTCCGGCTCCCTGCTCAGCAAGGAGTCTGCTTCTCCCTCTCCTTCTGCCCCTCCGCCCCGCTCCTGTGCTCTCTCTCTCTTTCTCTCTCAAATAAATAAAATCTTTAAAAAAGGGAAGGAAGGAAGGGAGGGAGGGAAGGAGGAAGGGAAGGAAGGAAGAAAGGAACCAATGCAGTGTGAACACACTTTTGGTCTCTGTCCTTGGATGCTTATAGGATTGCCTATTACAAACTTATAAAAAAAAAACTCCTTTTCTTGAGCTAGCTCGAGGGTACTTCTGTTTGGTGGACCCAATCCCTGAATTAAAAAAAAGGGGGGGGCACTTTTTTTGCCACAAGTCTCTACCTGCTGTTATCACCAATTCAAAAAGCAAAAACGGTTACTTGGAATTGTGGAATGCAAAAGCTGAATGGGACCTTAGAAGCCACACTCTAACCTGCAGGAGAAAGGCTACACCAGTGCTTGTCTGATGCCTCACGTGTAGTCAGAGAAAGATCTGGGTTCCCAAACTTACTCAATTTCACCTTAACAGACCAAAGGGCTCTGGTTTGTCAGTAACATAAAGCCAGGCTATTAGAGGGAAGCCTCACGTTATCACCACAGGAAAAGCAATAAGAGAACAAATTAGTGCTTCTGGTTACAGAATGATATATGCCAATCCTGATCATAGTTCCTGACGGGAAAATATTTTTTTGAAAAGCATTTTACCCTGAAAGATATGTCATGGGACAGACATGCCAACCAAAAATTTTAGTTCATTGTGAACTTTGTGGCTTTTAACTGATAAGCACAAAATGGAGTTAACTGTCGGAGGATTCCATTGGAGGAAATGCCTGTGAGAGAGAACGGGAGGGGGATAAACAGGGCCTGCAGGGTGGACAGTGTGAGGGAAAGAGGGTTGGCGGGAAGCGCTTCAGACTTCCTTCACGCTTAAGGAGAATTGGGCAAGGCTGCGGGAAGCCGGACATCAAGGAGACCTTCAGTTCCCAGGCCCAGCTCTGTGTTCGCGGCCTGCCCCACTCAGTCACGGATGCGGACTAGCCCATGGCAGCCTGGTCTTGGCGCAAGGCTCGCTATGCGTTTCAGACTGTGGTGTCTGGAGACCTGGTTAGTCATGGTCCCTGTGGTTGGCGTCAAGCAACAAAGGTCTCTTGTCAACTTCTATAATTGTCATCTCTAAACTATTTGAATTTGTAAAACCCCAAAACTTTTACGTCTTCATATCTTTATGCCTTCTCTGTTTTATTTCAAATTTACTGAAGGGAAAATGCTCCAATCACAACTACAGTCTTACGGAATTTACCCTTCTACCAGAGAGAGGTCTCTTGTACTAGAGTGTAAGGAATGGCAACGATGAGGTAATTAATGAGGCCATTCATGGCAGGAACCAAGTCCAGGATGTGTGATTTTGCCTTTGCAGGCCCACACAGTGTTAAGGGTAAGCATATAAGCATAGGCGCATCTAGCCCAATATTTGTATGAGATCAGTTTTATGACTGGATAATCCTGAAATATGTAGCTGCAGTGTCTAGGTGAGAACCACTTTATAATGGTGAATTTGGATCACATTAGTGATGAACATTGAAAAAGAAAAAGAGCATACTTTATTAGCAATTAAATTTAGGGAAGACTCATAACCAGAGGGCTGACTCCAAGTGTCACAAAGTTGGAAAAACATGAATAACATGATGAGGTGTAAAGAACTGGGATGAAGCAAAAAATGGTATCATGAATAAAATTCCGTCATGTATCGGGGGATATCTAAAATGCCGTTGTTGAATCAAACTGATGCATTTTTAAAATTCATTAACATTTTAGTTCTCTAATAATGTCAAATTATTTATGTCATTGGATTATTTCAGCAGCTGAAAATCACATGGACAATTGCTTAGTCAACTTTTCCCCTTTATTAAAAGCATTAAAAAACGGACTTTGGAGGTCATCCAAAGTAGTTTCCAAGGGATGAGCGAGTTCAAACACAATTCAAGCAGGAATCAGTATCTGGGCATCCACTCCAGTGAGCAGAAAGAGTAACAAGAGAGTCTGGGAAGAGGGCCACAGAATAGGGCACAGCATATTTTAGGGGAATCTGTCCATTTTCTGCAGGACATCTATTTACAGAGAATAGGATCCAGGGAGGGGACGCTGGGAAGTATTAGGCTCTAACCAAGAATGCTTCAGGTCTCCTGTCTTGGAAGATGGCTACGGGGACTAAGTGGGGAGATCAAGAAAACTGTGGCTGCAGGGTCATGGTGCACAAGTAAACCAGCTCTAGAGGAAAGGGGTTGTTTTATGTAGTGGAATTCATAATCCTATTTTGTAGTCCTCAACTGCTTCAGCCACAGTGGCTCAAGACATGCGTTCTGTGTCGCAAGTCCGGCTGAGAGTCAAGATCAGCCCCCTTAGCTGGGCCCTGACAACGTGCTATCCTCTTCTTTAACCTTTTTTCCCCAGGGGCAAGACGATATTCACTGGTCCTTGCCAACCGCAGCTGCCATGTGCCTGCCTCGTGCCTCTGCGTTCCAACCCTAACTTCAACCTCAAGACTAACGCCAACACAAATTAAGGTTTCATTGAATATATCTCTTTGGACATTGATTATCAGATTTCTGACTCTTTAGCTCAAAACTAATTGTATAATCCTAAGAAAATAGCCTTTCCCTATGTCTTGTTTATAAAATCTTGATACAGATAGGTACACATATATGGACAACTGAGTGAAACATGCCATCTGCTGGTGAAATATGTTATTAATTTTAAGAGAGTGAATGCTTTTTGAAGTTCTGCACCATTCCTGAGTGGTCCAGTGTGCTACTGGACATAACAGTGTGCCCTTAAACACAATTCTATTATGAATACCCAAATATTATCAGGCATATAAAGTGGCAGACAATAGTATTCGATCTGAAGGAGTGAGGAATATGAAGAAAGTAAGGTGAAGATTTTTACTATATTTAGTCTTCTGCACAATCAAAAAAAAAAAAAGCCAGTAATTACAGTAATTGATTTACCCTAGTTTTTTTAATGCATTCTGAAAAAAAATTGAGAAATATCCCTACTAATAATTTACATGTGCTTCTCAAACATAATGTTGGAACAATAGAGTTTTGAGGTGAGCAACTTGTTACTAATACTAAATAATCAAGAGGTAATGTCAGCAAGATGGTGAGTAGGAAGCCCTGGGCTATCCCTCCCTCTGCAAACTCACCAACTCAACAAGATTTGGGACACCCTGTGACCTGAGTCCCCACCCCAGCAAAGGCAGCATATAATCAGAAAGAACCCCCCTAACCCTTGGCTTCTCTCCAGGAGTTGGTTTGCATGTCCAGTGCCCCAAACTTCCTGAGAGGGATCCCAGAGGAAGAACCTGGGTCTCGGAGCTTGGATGGATCAACCACAGCCTAGCAACTAGGGGAGCACGGAGATGGCCGCTTGAGATGGCAGAAATCATGGCTTCCCCTTCTTCCCAGTGCAGAGAGAACAGATGAGAAAATCCAGGTCTGGAGAGAAGCATCTGGTAAAAGCAGCAGGGCTACATGGGGTTTGGTTCTAACAATCTACCCAGCCTCTACATCAAGGGTATGGTGGGGGGAACCACTTGCCCCAGGCAGATGCTCAGGTAAGGGGGTGGGGTAGCCCTGGCCACACAGGCCTAGAGGGCATGGGTACCTGAGACAAGGTGTCGGGAAGCTAACTGCACAGCACGAGTCATGTGACTCTCAGCATCCAGGTAGCCCGGGTCCCCAGCCCCATGTCTACACTGTGGGGACAACAGGCCGAGGCACCAGCGAGCGTACCTGTGGGCCACATCCTGTCCAGGTCCAGCCTCCTCTAAAACAAAGGCTTCAACATAAGACACAAGCAAAGCAAAACAAAGCAAAACAAAACAAAAAAACAGGGGAAAAGCTTCAGGACATTGGTCTTGGCAGTGATTTCATAGATATGACGTTAATGACATAGGCAACAAAAACTTTTATGAGGTATCTAAAATAGTCATATTCATAAAATCAAAGACAGGGATGGTGGTCACCAGGGGCTGGGGAGAGGGGGAACTGGGGAGTATTCATCAATAGACATAAAGTTTCAGTTAAGTAAGACGAATATGCTCTAGAGATCTGCTATACAACACTGTACCTACAATAAAGCATTGTACCCTTAAAAATTGGTAGGAGGATAAAGCTCAGTGTTCAGTGTTCATATCACAATAAGATAAAAAGAATACTGAGTAATCAGAATTTGTATCTTAACATTAGAGTTTAAAAATTAGGATGGAAAGTCATCCTTTGACTCACTCACATGCATCCCAGTATGTTCTCTTGCATGGAACGAAAAGGACGGTGTCATAGCCAACATGCTGGGAATTATATATAACTCTGGCTAAAAGCTCAAGTGCATCACTGTAGTAACATCATCAGATTACATCCTGAGAGGGGAAAATGCCAAAACAAGTGGGAACTTTATAATCAACTTCATCCCTGGAGAGATTTGCATTGTCTTAGTGTCAGGAAAGGAGGTACATGGCCTGCACTTGTCCTGTAGTTAGATTGCAAATTCTGTAAATTAACATGACACCTTTTCAGAGTTTATTGCTGAAATGCTTAGAGTCAAATTTTTGTCCAACCTCTAAATATACGTTAGGACCTTCTATGCATTTTGTATATAACCCCACTCCTGGCTTCCCTGGCTCCATCCTACACTCTTCTTCCCCATATTCCATGTTCCTCCCCAACTATTTTGTTCAATCTTGTGTGTATTTATATAAGCCACCCTAAATCCTCTCTGAAAGATAGGGTAAAGATAAACATTAAGATTTGTTTGAAGGTCACATTTTTTATTGTTATTATGCATAACCACATGTTTTTCACTTGGAGGTGAGTTTTTAACTTGAGGTAACACCGAGTTTTCCTCCAAAGAATATATTCCTTTTTATTCCTCCCAGGAAGCTGTGCCACATGGTTATATGCCAGTGTGAACTTACAACACATTATCTTCTCAAAGTTCTAAGAAAAGAAAGAATATAGTTGATAAGATACATTACAAAACTAATTTTAAAGCAATTACGAGTTTCCATTTTGCACACAAATCCCTGACATGTGCTAGAATCACCAAGCTCCGGAGATGGTCTCTTTTCTTTACGGATAACACTGCCTGATTCAGCAAGTAAGCAACCAGCAAGGATTTACCACCCAATGAGTTAATGAACAAATTCTTTTGACAGGGTTAAAAATATTAACTGTAAGTAACCACAGCTTTCTACTCAATCCTCTCTAGGATTCAGAATTGCTAGTCAAGCCAAAGGTGGGGAATAGAATTTGAAGGAACTGAGAAAGACAACAGGACTGAGGGTGCAGCTCTTTATGGAACATGACGGAGAGGCTAGAGGGGGGATGGGGGGATGACTGGGGAAGGAGCTACAGGGCTCAGGGGGACTCTGAGGGCAGGGGTGCCCAATGAAGAGTTTTAGGAATTTCTTGGTTATATTTGGTTTGAAAAAATTCCTTTAGTTAGTATCTCTTCAAGAAACTAAAGTAAAAGCTTACTTTTGTTTAAGGATTTTGATGTTGGAATTGCATGCATTTTTTTTTTTTTGAAATGTGTTGTAAAAAAGCCAAATTATGGCAAGGGCCCAAATGTCCATCGACTGATGAATGGATAAAGAAGATGTGTTATACATACACGATGGACTATTACTCAGCCATAAAAAAGAATGAAATCTTGCCATTTGCAATGACTTGGATGGGGCTAGAGAGTATTATGCTAAGCGAAATAAGTCAGTCAGAGAAAAACAAATACCATATGATCATATGTGGAATTTAAGAAACAAAACAGATGAACATAGGAGGGGAAAAGAGAGGGGCAAACCATAAAACAGACTCTTTAACTATAGAGAACAAACTGAGAGTTGCTGGAGGAGCGGTGGGGGGCAGGGATGGGCATTAAGGAGGGTGCTTGTGGTGATGAGCACTGGATGTTGTATGTAAGTGATGAACTAAATTCTATTCCTGAATCCAATATCACACTGTATGCTAACTAACTGGAATTTAAATAAAAACTTGGAGAAAAAAAATAAACATATGCTCTATACCCAATCTCTAAAAAAGTAAATAAAAATAAATGTAAGACAAGACTAATTTTGTATAGTTTTAGGAGGGGTTTTGGAGGACTCTATTGAGAGATCTTTGTGCTTCCCTGAGGAACTATTCATTTTATTTTAAAAATATTTTTATTGTGGTAAAATATATATAACATAAAATTTACCATTTTAACTATTTTCAAGTGTACAAATCAGTGGTCTTAATTATGTTCACATTGTCTGCAACCATCACAATCTGTTTGTAAAAATTTTCATCACTAAAAGGAAACTGTATCTACTAAGTTCTAGTCAAATTTCTGTTCCTATGAATTTGCCTATCTGAAGTATCTCTTAGAAGTGGAATCATACAATATTTGTCCTTTTGTGTCTGGCTTATTTCACTTAACATAATGTTTTCAAGGTTCATCCATGTTATAGTATGTTATCAATACTTCATTTTTACGTCTAAATAATATTCCATTGTAGGTATATACCATATTTTGTTTATCCAACCTTTTATTGACGGACACTTGGGTTGTTTCCACCCTTTGGCGATTGTGAATTATGCTGCTATTGAACACTGGTGTACAAGTGTTTGTATCCCTGTTTTCAATTTTCTTGGATATGTATCTAGGAGTAGAATTGCTGGGTCAGATGTAATTCTGTGTTTAACCTTTTGAGGAAGTGCGACACTGTCATCCCCCATTTTATATTCCCATCATAATGCATAAGGGTACCAATTTCTCCACATCCTTACCAACACTTGTTATATTCCCTTGTTTATTGCAGCCATCCTAGTTAGGTGTGAAGTGGCATCTCACTGTGGTTTTGATTTACATTTCTCTAATGACTAATTGTGTTGAGGACCTTTTCATGTGCTTGTTGGCCATTTGTTGATCTTCTTTGAAGAAAGGTCTATTCAAGCCCTTTATCCATTTCTGATATTAAATACTTAATCAGATACAGAATTTGCAAATATTTTCTTCCATTCTGAGGGTTGTCTTTTCACTCTCTCGATAGTTTCCTTTGATGCACAAAGTTTTTATTTTTAAGACCAAGTTATCTCCTTTATCTTTTGTAGCCATCTAGTCCTGGGCTTTTCAATGTCCTGCAGATTTTCCCCTATGTTTTCTTCTAAGAGTTTTATAGTTTCAGCTCTAAAATGTAGGTCTTTGATCCATTTTGGATTAATTTTTGTATATAGTGTAAGGTGATGGTCCAACTTCATTATTTTAAATGTAAATGTCAGTCTTTCCAGTATTAGTCATTAAAGAGAGTATTCTCTTTTTACTAAATGATCTTGGCACCCTTGTTGAACATCAACTAATCATAAATGTGTAGGTTTACTTATAGGTTCTCAAGCCTATTCCATCGGTCTATCCTTAGACCTTAACAACCACACTGTTTTGACTACTGTCAATCTGCAGTAAGCTTTGAAATCAAGAATTGGGAGTGCTCCAATTTTGTTGTTTTTCAAGATTGTTTTGGTTCTTCTGTATCCTTCAAAATTTCATATGAATTTTAGGATTGGTCTTTCCATCTCTGTAAATAACACTAGTGGGTTTTTTTTTTTTTTTTTAGGGCTTGCAATGAATCTGTAGATCACTTTGGGTAGCATTGTAATCTTCACAATATTAAGTTTTCCAAGTTATGAACACAGGGTGTCTTTCCATTTATTCATGTCTTCTTTAGTTTCTTTCAGCATTGTTTCATATGTTTCAGTATAAAATTCTTGTACTTGTACACTGACTAAATTTAACCCTAAGTATTTTATTATTTTTGATGCTGTGGTAAATTGAATTGCTTCCTTAATTTCCTTTTGGGATTTTTCATTGCTAGTGTATAGAAACATGAATGATTTTTGTGTGTTGATGTTGTATCCTGTATCTTTACAGAATTAGCTCCGACAAATTTTTTGTATGTGTGTGTGTTTCTTCAGGGTTTATTAGATATAAGGTCATGCTACCTGCTAATAATATTCCAATTTGGATGCTTTTATTTCTTTTTCTTGCCTAATTGCTTTGGCTAGACCTTCCAGCACTATGTTAAACAGAAGTGGCAAAAGCAGAGATCCTGATCTTAGAAGAAAAGATTTTAGCGTTTCACCATTGTAGTATGATGTTAGCTGTGGGTTTTACACATATGGCCTTTATCATGATGAAGAAGTTCTTTATATTCCTAATTTATCAAGTGTTTTTATCATGAAAGGGTGCTGGATTTTGTCTAATGCTTTTCCTGTATCAATTGAGATAATATCTTTTTTCTTTATTCTATTAATGTGGGTATTACATTCCTTGATTTTCATATGTTGAACTACCTGGTATTCCTAAGATAAATCTCACTTGATCATGGGGTATAATCCTTTTAATATGCTGTTGAATTCAGCGTGCGGGTATTTTACTGAGGATTATAGCACTGATATATTCATAAGGCATATTGCTCTGTAATTTTTCATGAAGCCTCTTTGTCTGGCTTTTTTCAGGGTAATGCTGACCTCATAGAATGAAGTAAGTTTTCCCTCCTTTTCAGGTTTTTGTGGAGCTTGAGAATCAGAGTTAATTTTTATTTAATTGTTTGATAGAATTCTCTAATGAAGCCATCTAGTCCTGGGCTTTTCTTTTTTGGCAAGTTTTTAATTACTGATTTGTTCTCCTTACTTGTTATAGGTCAATTCAGATTTTCTATTTCTTCTTGAGTCAGTTTTGCTAGTTTGCGCCTTCCTAGGAATCTGCATTTCACCTAGTTTATCCAATTTGTTGGTATACAACTGTTCATAGAATTCTCTTATAACCCTCTTTCATTTTTGTAAATTCAGTAGTAATGTCCCTTCTCCCACCTCTGATTTTAGCAACTTGCACCTGCTCTCTCTCTATTATTATAAAATATATTTGAACACTGTGTGCCCATTAACACATGCTTATAGTCATTATTTTATCATTGTCTTTTATATGCTATAGGAAAGAAAGAGAAGTTAGAAACCAAAAGTACAATAATATTGGCTTTTTTACATTTACTTACGTAGTTATTGTTACCTGTGTGCTTTATTTCTTCATATGGCTTTGAGTTACTGTCTAGTGTCCTTTCATTTCAGTTTAAAGAACTCCTTTAGCATTTGTTGTAGACAGGTCTATTAGTAATGAATTCCTTTTGTTTTTGTTAACCTGGAAATGTCTTACTTCCACCTTTACTCTTGAAGGATACTTTTGCCAAATATAGAATTCTTGGTTGACAGGTTTTTTTTCCCCCCTCTCAACAATTTAAATGTGTTATCCTACTGCTTTCTGGCTTCTGTGGTTTCTTATGAGAAATAAGCTGTTATTGAGGATTCCATGTATGCAACAAGTCATTTCTTTCTTACTGATCTTAAGATTCTGTCTTTGTTTTTGGCTTTTGACAGTTTGACTATAATATACCTCAGTGTGGAGCTCTTTTTGATTCTGCTTGGATTTCATTGAGCTTCTTGGATGTGTAGATTAAGGCATTTCATTATATTTGGGGACTTTTCGGCCATTATTTCTACTCCTTTCTCTCACTTTTTTCCTTCTGGGATTCCCATAATGCATATGTTAGTCTACATGATCATGTCCCAAAGATCCCTTAGGCTCTGTTCACTTTCATTCTTTTTTTTTATTTCCACTCCTAAGACTGGATAATTCCTACTGTCCTATCTTCTAGCTCACTGATTTTTTTCTTCTGTCTGCTCAAATTTGTCTTGACCCCCTCCAGTGAATTTTTTAATTTGGTTATTGCACTTTTCAGCTCCAGGATTCCTATTTGGTTTATTTTTAATCTCTCCTTGTTGATATTCTCATTTTGTTCAGACATTATTTTCCTGTTTTCCTTCAGTTTCTTATCCGTGGTTTCCTTCAGTTCTTTGAGCATATTAAGACAGTTGACTTAAAGTATTCATCTAGTAAGTCCAATGTCTGGGCTTCCTCAGGGATGGTTTCTGTCAACTTTTTTTCCTGTGAATGGGCCATACTTTTCTATTTCCTTGTATGTTTTGTGGTTGTTGTTATTGTTGTTGTTGAAAACTAGACATTCAACTACTATAAGGTGGTAACTCTGGAAATCAGATTTTCCCTCTTCCCCAGGGTTTGCTTTTCTTGGTTGGTGAACACTTGGTTTGTGTTCAGCCAATGTTTTAACTTAGACCTCCTTGAAAATCAGGAGTTTAAAAACAACAACAAACCACTTCTCCAAGTCTCGGTAGATTGGCTCTGTCCTCAGCACTTCTTTAAACACTTAGCCAGGCCATTTACTATTCTGTCTCAGCCTTCACTTCCTGCTTGTACTAAGCCTATTTATCAGCCAATGGTAAAAAATGGGGGTCTGTCAGATCTTCTCTGAGCATGTATCTTGTTCTGGGCATGTGCATGGCCCTCTAAATTCCCTAGTATGCATTATTGCTTCTGAATGCCCCCATTTCCCAAAGAAAATCTCTCTCCCCAGTTTTTCCTCCCTAGCTTTAGGTGGTCTATTGTATATGTCAACCATAATCTTTGTCCTCAGACAGCTGTGGGGTTTTTGGTCACCATACAATATTTTTAATCAATGTCCAACACTTTTCCTCCCTGAGCAATTTCTGGGTTTGGTGAAACAGATGAGTGCCTGTGTCGTCCTTCAGGTAGCCTCCAAATAGAACAGAAAAACACAGTAATTTGTAGATAATATCTGCTCTCCTCTCTCTGGAGCCAGAGACACGGGTCACACACTGCAAACAGGCTGTGATCTTCGAGACTGTCGCCATGCTGGGCAAGTGGTAGGGCAAGTAAAAATGTTACAAAACTTCCATATCATTTTTAAGTTGCCTTTTCTTTGATTCAGCACACACATGGTTGCTGTAAACCTTTGATTATTTTCCAGAGTTCTGACAGTTTCCGGTTGTTTTTTCAATGTTCCTTTGGAAGGATGCGAGCTTGGAGCTGCCTATGTCACCATTTTGCTGACATTCTCCATCACTCCAATGGAGCCCTCTTGACTCCCCTGCTCTGAGAGCTGAACTTAACTCTCAATTCAGATTAAGAGTTATGACCAGAACAGAACTCATAGTATTTCCTTCCAACCTACTTCTCCCTTCTCAGCTCCTTGTCTGGGAATGGTTAGGTCATTTCCCCAGTCACTCAAGCCAGGAAGCTTTATTTTTTCCCACTTATTTGGTTGTCAGTCATCAAGTCCTGTGGGTGTAAGGTAGCTTTCTAAGAATCCTCTCATCATTCCACTTATCACTAACTGACCATTTCCATTATTAGTTAAGGTTGCTGTAATCTTTAATTTTATTGCAATGCTTCCAGCCTGGATAGCTTGCATATCATTTTCCTTCTCCATCTCCTATACGCATCTGCTCAAAGCACTCTGTGCTTTCCCCTAAGAACCCTAGAGCACATGTTAATTTTCTATCTCCTGCTTTTAGAGTTCTAGAGTTTTAGGACAAGGACTGTGTATATTCAGTCTTGCAACAATGTTCAGCATATAGCAAGAGCTGAATAAATGATTCTTGAATGTCTGAAACAGACTGACAATACCTTAAAGTGATATGATAGAGTATAGTAGATATAGCACAGTAGACATAGCAAGACAGAAACCAGCAATGTGTCTTTATATATAAGCATCAAGCATACATGTATATGATGGTTTAAAAACTTTTAAACTGACTTCTCTTTCTCGCTTCCTTACCTCTGATTTTGAAAATCCTCCCTACTTTTTAAGATTGATTTTGTTCCTTACCTTCTCCAGCTCCTAACCATCAAACATACACCTGTCGATTCAGCACTTAATTACACTAATTTGAAATCCCCCATATTATTCATAATGCTCCCCTCATCAAAAAAGGGGGGATATGCAGATGTTAGCATAGATCTACACCATATTGCTAACTGATACTATAAACAGAATGTAGATCCACTCACCTCCCTCCCCACTAGTCATGTATCACTGGCATGTTTAATAATGTACTGTCTTATAGTGATTATAATTAGATGTTGTTTCTTTGAGTTTTGTCTCCCCATTCAATTTGCACTTTTCTGAAGGCAACAACCTCCATTCAGCCACTTTTGTATTAACCAAGAATTTGCAGTTCAAGTAGACACACAATTCATATTTTCCCAACATAAATGACTATGGGTTGTACACTCATGCCTTTGTCTATAATTGAGTGAGACTTAATGGAATGAGCTGCACTGTGCCCAAATTTATTTTTATTTTATGACTTAATATCTTAATTCAATGTTCTTATTTGGGGGAAATCACAGCCTAAATGACAATATTAAGGGAACAATGTACACTTCTCTCCCCTAGGAACCTGGTTGGGTGTGGAGGGGTTTCTCCATTTAACATTGCTTTCTCATTATGCTCTGGATACTGATTCTCAGTTTGGCTCATCCAAGTGGGGACGACCCTCCACATGCGAAGAGGCTCTACAGTCTTTTTTTTTTTTATGTTGTTAGTCACCATACACTACATCATTAGTTTTTGATGTAGTGTTCCATGATTCATTGTTTGTGTATAACACCCAGTGCTCCATGCAGTACATGCCACTACAGTCTTATTTCAGGCAGTTGTCAGACCCATAGTGGTATACATTTGTGAGCCTACTCTTTGAAAAAAAAGAAGGAAAGTAGGTTTAATGGGAAAGGCCACCTAGCTTAGGCTGTTTCCCACATTGCCCAGGACAGAAAAGTTTCCAAACTTTCTATCAACAGCTAAGTAAACTCAATCCATATACATGTTATGTATCTTCAAGCCTGCTATGGAACAGCACAGAGTGTCTAGTGGGAAATAAAATCTGATTCACAGATATGGGGAAAGTTCTGGTCTTTCTGGGACAGTCTTGTCCTGGGCTCAGTCACAGTAATAAGCAAAGAAAAGAAAACAATAATTAAAGAGGTATTGTACTTTAGTTTCCCTCGGGATTCTCAGGACCAAATTCTTCAAAAATTCTAGTAATGCTCTCCATTGCTTCATAGGTATTAGATGATCCGTGGACAGCATTTTTCAAAACACTTCTTCCAAACTTGGCTCGGATAGAGTCTGGGGACAGTAGTTTTGCCTCATCTGGTTCTACAGGACCAATCAATTGTCTCCAGTCTGAAACAGCATTCCACTTGGTCAGAACCATGACCAAAGATGGACCCCTGCAAATAAGAATGCTTTCAGACAATCTGAGCATTTACACCTATAGAGATTGCATATACAGCTAAAAACAAGAATACCATGCTTTGTCTTTATTCTTTGTCCTTATCAATGTGATTTTGTGCTTTCTTTTTGTTTTTCCACTTCTCCCCCTTCCAATAGATTGTTGTGCTAGAAGAGTGCTGTAGTTTAATTCTAGAAATATATGCCAGGCACTGTTCTGAGTATTTTTAATGTGTCAATTATATAACCTCACAACAAACAAAGAGATAGATACTATTATTATCTCCATTTTACAGATGAGGCAACTGAGGCACAGATTAAATATGTTGACAGAGCAGGGATTTAAAAGCAGAGATTAAAACCCAGATCATCTCTATACCTAATGTGAAGACCTAAAGAAACGAAGGAAGGAAGGAGAAAAGAAGGTAGGGAAGGAAGGAAATAGAAATGAACCCCAAATATTAATAGGGTGTCTTTATCTTTTAATGAATGGAATTTTTAAATTACATTTTGTATGTTTCAGTTTGTATAATGAATATTTACTACTTTTATAATGAAAGACTATATATCAGAAACTTACTCAGATAACATTTCCAATACATCTTGATAAAAGTCTTTTCCTTTTATTTTTGAATAAATTTTTCCTGCTTCTTCTTCATTTAGGAGCATTTCCTTCATCTGTGTTATTTCAAATCCAGCCTCTCTAATAAGTTTCAAGATCTCCTCTAGAGAAAACAGATATTTGGTAATCTTGTAGAGTGCCTCCACTTTTGTTCCATATTCAAGTAGACTGAAATAACTAAGGAAAGTAATCATTTTACTTGCATACTGTGGCTTAAAGAGCTAAAACTATGCTAAACTAAATTGAACTGAAAAGCATCAGATCGACATCGAGCTGACATCCAGAACAACGTTAATACAGTAATGCAGAGGTTCAGTCTCTGAGATGCATCTTCCAGAACCCACCGGAAACATCTCATAGACTCTAAGGAGGGCGGGAGGGGTATGCTTCTGGCTGAAAGTGAAGCCATGTTTTCATCTCCATGCTGCAAATGTCAAGGAAGTCCTTCTAGATATGGATCGAAGGGGAGAGCCCATCTGAACACTTCTCCCTGAAGTAGCAAGGCACTAAAAATCTCACCAACAGTCTAAACTTTAAAGGCTACATTCAGTGAACCAAATGAGGGATTAGGAGCTTTCTGGTAAAACAGTCTTTTCTTTGGTCCAGATCAAAAGCACTTAGAAGTGCTGTGTTGCCGTGCTGGTCTCTAAAGGTTGACCTTGAGCACAACCGATAGCCTGAAGAAGACTGGACTTCTCCTCCTATAAAGGCAGCAGCCAGGATCTGCCCTATGAAAGGTGCTGTGGGAACAAATGTGAATGGAACATTAAACACTTCTTCCAGATCTTGTCTGCTCAGATGGCTGGGCCTAGAAACACAGCTTGAAAAGGTGGTCATTTTTATAAAGAGCAATGTAAAAGGCTCCTGGAACCACAGGCAAGTAAACTATTAACTCTCTGGGAAGGTCAGAGATGACTTCCAGAAAGGCCAGCCTTTGTGTTCAGTACAGAAAAAATAAGATATGATCACCATACAGACAAACAGAGAAAGAACATTGTAGGGACAGTGCAGAATTTCTAAAAAAAAAAAAAAAAAAAAGTTAATGAAAACACTATGCATTAAAATCTATGGGGTAATCAGAAGAAATTAAAGCAATAATCAAGGAACATGTATAACTTCAAAAATATATATCGACAAAAATAATGGAAATAAATGAATTAAATATCCAATTTAAAAAGCTAGAAGAGCATTTTAAAAAACTACTAGAGAATCAAAGGCAAAATTTTTTTAAAAAAACCTAAAATAATGAGTTTGAAAACAGAAAATAAAACTCATAAATAAATAAGGGCACCTGGGTGGCTCAGTCATTAAGCATCTGCCTTTGGCTCAGGTCATGATCCCAGGGTCCTGGGATCAAGTCCCACATCAGGCTCCCTGCTCGGCAGGAAGCCTGCTTCTCCCTCTCCTACTCCCCCTGCTTGTGTTCCCTCTCTCGCTGTGTCTGTCTCTGTCAAATAAATAAATAAAATCTAAAAAAATAATAAAAAATAAAAAATAAATAAATAAAATTCTGTTTGTTTGAAAAACAACAAATGAAGAAATGGCAGGGTGGAAATAATCATTGAAAATGAGGAAATTAAACATGATAATAAGAAACCATGAACTCTATACAGACAAAATGGATAATTTCCTAGGAAAACACAACTTAGCAAAAATTAACTCTAATTAACTATAGTAGAAGTAAAAAGTTTAAATAGATCCATTTCCATAGAAGACTTTCTCCACAGAGAAAGTGGTCAAAGAATTATCCCACAAAAAAGCAACAGGCCCAGATGTTTTCATAGGAAAACTCTACCAAATCTTCAAATATCAACCCCACTGCTGCTTAAACTCCTTCAGAGTACCACAAATGAAGACATGCACATTTTTTATGAAGTATTATTATACTGTTATCTAAACCTTGCACAAAAAAATGAAAAGGACAGACCAATCTCACTGTCTCAACACGAAAAATCCCAAGTAAAATATAAGCAAATAGAATCTAAAAGCACACTTAAAAAATACCTCAAGACTAAGTGAAGTTTATCCAGGAATGGAAGAATGGCTCGATATTAGAAATATCATGAACATGATCTTTCCTATTAATATATCTATGGAGAAAAACATTGTCATCTTCATGAATTCTGAAAAGGACTTCACAAAATTCAATTTCATTTTGATTATAAGAGAGACAGAGAGAAGGAAGAGGGAAATAGGGCAAGAGAGCAAATATGACAAAAGTTCATTGTTAAATCTAGATCGAGGGATGTGGGTGTTTGTTGAATTATTCCTCTAGCTTTTCCATAGTTTGAAAGTTTTTACAAAATCTGAAGGAAATGTACACATTGATTTTTATTTCTAAATATTTACCTCTTTGTTCCTGTGTTACATGAGGTTTAAGCAGTGCTAAAGTGCTTTGAGGAGGAAAGAAATACCGTATTTCCCTCTCGGCTGCTTCTAATGAATCACTTCCATACAACTGGTTGATGGGCAATTCTTCCATTGCAAATCGTACACATAAACTTTGAAAAAGAAGTCAAGTTAAGCACTGTTAGAGCGTAACATAATGTAGTATAAACACAACAGAACACTATATAAATTGTCCAAAAGTCATCAAACAACTCATTCCTGATCTAGACACTGTGCAAAAGGCAATAATTATACTCCTTCCTTACAAGGAAGTTTAACAGCCATTAGGAAGAAAGAACATAAACAATGAAATAATTATGATATGACTATTGACAGATAACTCTGCAAGAAGGAATGGTACCTTGGTGCAGGGAAAAAGGATAGACTGTAGAATGCTTATTGCACTGCTTGCTAGCTATGTGTCTCTGGTCAATTACTTAGCTTCTCTGTGCTTTAGTTATGTCAGATATAAATAAGATAATAAAACTGCTTTGGAAGGAGATTTTGAGGATGTAATCAGATGATATGTTTGAAATATATGGTGCATATTAAGCTCTCAGTAAATATTCCTTTCCCTTCCCTCATCACTAAATATTATCAAGCACTAGAGATGGCATTTGACTCTATACCAAAGACCCCAAATCACAAATACTGAATCCAGGAGACACTGCAAAGGAGCCTCTAGCAGAGCAAGCACAGTGATAAGAGAGGAGCATACAGGATGGCTACGTGTAAAGAGGCAGGAGTGAGGCTGATGGTACTGGACATGTTGGGTTAGGCAGGTGTTTTTTTTTTTAAGATTTTACTTATTTACTTATTTACTTATTTAAAGAGTGTGTGAGTAGGGGGAGGGGCAGAAGAAGAGGAAGGGAGAATCTCAAGCAGACTCCCTGCTGAGCGCAGAGCCCTATGTGGGGCTTGATCCCATGACCCTGAGACCAGGACCTGAGCCGAAACCAAGAGTCAAGATGCTTAACCAACTGAGCCACCCAGGCACCCCTGGGTTAGGCAAGTTATCCTGGTTCTGCTTCCTCTACAATAGATGAACACATATACCTCCTGAATCAATTGGTGTTCCTTGATTTTTTGTCAGTAGCCCTTTTCCCCCTCTCTTTATCTACATATATTTCAGTAGAGGATATACACTCTGCTTATTTCATTTTCTGCCCTTTACACATAGCCCAACCCACAAAATCCAGCCATAGGGAATAATGTCCTTTCCTATTAATAAACTGACTTCACTGGTAACTTGGTTTTCTCTCCTTAGACCCCCTTCTTACCTCGTTGCTTTTGCTGATGCATTCAGATTTCCTTTTTGCCTTAACCAATTTGACTTTCCCACTTGACCCTTGGCAATTCTCACATCTTTGATTTGAAGACCCTTGTAGCCCCAGAGCCCTGGAGACTGGGATTGCCAGGGGTGGGGGATTTGCACAGTGAAGGTATCACCACAAGGTATCTCTGCTCAATGGAGCAAGCTGCGCCTCTGTGGATCTGTTAGAAGATTACTGGGGGGAGAGCGTGTGGAGGAGGATGGGACAGAGTGAGTAGGTGATGAGAACGAGGGGTTGCTATGTTTCTCCTTTATGCAAGTGACCATATTTCAGATGAAGTGATGCAGGGCAGAATTTGAAACCCAAGTGCAGAGAAGGGCAGAGCTCTGCTGAGTTCTTTCAAAAGCAACCAGAAAGAACTGGGTAGAGCTGAGGAAATGGAAGAAGGGGGAACCAATAAAAAATAACAGTTAAGATTAGCTGTGAACTTGTAGCCACATAGGGATCATAAGGACTCTGGCTGGAATCCTCACTGTAATAGTGAGGTAGAGAGGGGCAGTCACTGAGTACCTACACCTGGAGAAAATGTCTCTGTGCTGCTCACTACCTCCACACGTGAAACCATAATTTCTAGAACAGTATGGCTACAAGCATAAGCCTTGAGTTGATAGGAATTCCTGTCTCAGATGTCATGTCTTGCATTCTACGCTACACTTCATTAAGAGTTTTTATGGCATTCTGCTCATACCACTTACAGACTGTCCAACTCCTATTATCCTATAAGGTAATTGTAGGGCTAAACAAGGGGTAAAATGTGTCCATGCAGAACAAGTCAGATTCCAGATATCCCACCCAAAAGAAAACATTTCAAAGTTGTGTGATGTGATGCTTCATTAGTATTGTTATTTATTATACCAACATGTATGTCAAGCTTGCTGTATCTGATAGAGCATCTCTGTTCTTACCCACTTGAAGGGAAGGCCTTTCTTCTCCTGAATCAATTCCTACCAAGGGCAAGAGATGGCCTTTTGGCTGGGTCCCCACCACTTACTTCCCAGCCTCACACCAAGCATCCCACAACCTTCTGCAAAACCTTGGCTTTAGTCGGGCTGCCACTGGGCTGGGCCTCTGGTCATAATCAGGAAAAGAAGTTTTCCTGAGAGCCTCCCTTGGACTAAAGCTGTAGTTCCTGTACCCATATCCAAAAATAAATTAAAATGTCTCCCATGAAAAAAGTTTGGGACCCATGATATGAATCCTACCTCTCTGGAAGATATTCTTTGGCTTTTTCAACACTACCTGGTCCAATTAACTCTTTCCAGTGTTGTAAGCCATGGTCTCTTACTAAAACAAGGGCTAGAGATGGACCACTGTTAGAAAAAAAGACAAAAAGTATGGCTCAGTAGCTAATTGTATATAGATAATACAAGTAGATTTATTAAATAGACAAAACATGTCAAGATAATTCTTTTATCAAGAGTCTAAGATGAATTTCCACTGGTGTACTCTCAAGAGTATATTGAACACCTTATAAAAGGATGGAAGCAGATTAAGGAAGGGAAGAGAAGGGCCTTCATTCTGATAGATCAATTCCTGTTTTGTTCCCAGATTCCTGCTGATTCATACACCCTTGCTGGGGTGTATGAATTTCTGTCACAGCTGCTATTTCACTTACTCTTCTAGAAACCTGACAGATTTCTAGTACCTCAGTCTTCTCCTAGAACTAGTGATCTTCAGGATCAACAAAGCCCTTGAGACTCAGTATGTTCTCTGCTTGAATTTAATGTTACACACCTTGGATTTCTAGCATTCAACTCAATGGACTCCAGTAACTTCACCCAGGCCTTTCCATTGCTCCAGTAACATTCCGGGAGGATGAGAGAAAATGGACAGTTGAGCAGAGAATTGAGATAGGAGTGAGATTGGCAAAGAAGTAGACTGAGCACATGTTTACAGAACTGAGAGGTGTGGCAACCTGACCAGGGCAGGGTCAAAAGAAGACCTAAATGATTCAAAACGAAATCAGACTGTGCCTTCTAAACCTGAACTCTACTTTACCTGGTCATTTTTTCTATAAGGTTTCCAAAATAATCTTCATTTTCATATTCCTTGCACAGTGTTTGTGCTTCCTCTTCTGATAATACAATTTGCCTTTGCATCAGTATTTTAAAGCCTTCATCTTCAATAATCTTCAAAACATCCTCTAAATCACATAACAAGTGTTAAATCGATAGGTTATTGGCTATACATACCATACAGAATGTACTATTATGAAGGCGTATAAGGCATTTTCCCCTCATTTGAAATCTAAAAGTTTGCAAAAATAGCTTATTAGATTTTAAGGTGAATAATACTCTTATCGTACCAAATTATGACTTATGATGCTATTTCCAGTTTTTCATTACATAGGAATCACACACATACAAGGTATGTAAAACTGAAAAAATTACAACTGAAATAAAATATTCACTGCATGGGCTGAATGCCAACAAGGAAATCACAGAATTCAGTTTTAAAACTAACACAATTGAAATGATCCAATTAGAACCACACACAGAAAACAAATTTAAAAGTGGCCAAAGCCTCAGGAACCTGTGAGACAGTGTCAAATATCTAATATTTATATCTCTGGAATCCCTGATGGAGTGGAGAAAGAGTTGGCACAGAAAAAATAACTTAAAGAAATAATGGTGGAAAATTCCTCAAATTTGGTGAAAGATATTAATTTATAGATTTAAGAAGTTTAAGGAACCCCAAAGTCAAAGATAAGCTCAAAGCAAAGTATACTCAGGGACACCTCAGTGGCATAGCTGGTTGAGCATTCAACTCTTGGTTTCTGCTCAGGTTGTGATCTTGGGGTCCTGGGATCGTGCCCCATGTTGGGCTCCACACTTAGTGTGGAGTCTGCTCAAGATTCTCTCTCCCTCTCCCTCTCCCTCTGCCCCCACCCCACGCTTTCTCTTGCTCTCTCTCAAATAAATAAATAAATCTTTTTTTAAAAGAGTATACTTATACACATAATAATAAAACTGCTAAAAACCAAAGATAAGAAAAACATCTTGAAAGCAACCCCCCAAATAAATAAATAAAAAGGTACATTACATATAAGGTAAAAAATGCTTTGAATGACTCTGGATTTTTCATTAGATACCAATAAAGCCAGAAGGCAGTGGTACAACATTTTAAAAGTGTTAAAGGAAAAAAACTGGCAAACCAGAATTCTATATCAGTACAAATATCCTTCAGGAATGAAAATAAAGACATTCTCTGATGAAAGAAAACCAATTGAATTTGTTGACCTGCTCTAAAAAAGTATAAAAGTTCTTTGGGTGGAAGGGAAATGATATCAGAGGGAAATTTGGAACTTCAGAAAGGAATAGAAGATAATTGTAAATATCTGGGTGAATATAATAAAATATTTTCCTCCTCTTAAGTTTTCAAAAAATTCATCACTGTTGAAAAGCAAAAAATTATAGTACAGTTTGGTGGAGTACTCAATACATGTAGATGTAACAGAACTGGTGACTACACTGGGTAGGGGAAAGGGGAAAAGGATATATGGGGCTGTAAGGTGATGTGGTAAAATATTAACTCTAAATAGTTTTAAAGTTACACACATATATTTTAACCCATAGCACAGCCACTAAAAGAAATGGACAAAATACATTAAGAAGCCAATAGATAAATTAAATTAAATTAAAATGGTACACTAAAAGAGTAAATTCTAAAAGACAGCAGGAAAGAGAAAACAGAATAGACAATTCCAAAATTTACCAAAATGACATTTAATGTAAAAGGTGTAAACATAGCAGTTAGAAGATAAAGATTGTCAGAATGGATTTTTGAAAAGACGATATTCTGTGCTCACTGGAAAAGAGAGACTTTAAGCAATAATGGAAATGATTCTGACAAGCTAGATGCAAACTGAGAGAAGACGACTATACTAGTCCCAGAGGAGATGAAAACAATGAAAAAGAATCATGTTTTCACCTTTTTCTTCTATTATGAATAAAAGGTGTGAGGGTCTGATTTCAAAGTTGCACAGAAAGCTTTGTTCTGAGGATTTGCCTTACTGGCAGAGTTGCTTGGAGGTGATTTGAGGCTTCTGGGCATATTTGAGGCTTCTGGGCATATGAAAGAACCAGGAAGACTGCCTGAGGCAATATCCAATAGAGGCCAGTCAGGCTCCAGATGCAAAAGCATCTGACATCTTTACCCAACATGAATGAGGCAACAGCCATCTACCAACTCATACTGAAGACAGGCAGTTTTAATTCTCATCATGGATGGATTTAATACTTGTTACTTCTTATCAATGGGATGTTCTTTTCTAAGGACTTGGTAGTAAAAGTTCTAGCAAATGGATTAGCCAGAATGTGTCTGTTGCATATTTCAAGTATTCTTAGGCGTGCTGGAAAAGGGTGGGAAGTGGAAACACGCACCAGCTGTCACATAAGATACTCTCATGAACTATGGAAAAAAATCTCAACAAAATATTATCAATCAAATCTAATAATGTACAAAAAAGGATACGCTACAGCAAAGCAGGATTTGTTCCAGGCATACAAGTCTAGTTCAACATTTGAAAACCAATGAACATAATTTGCACATTAATATGCTAAAGAAGAAAAATCATATGATCCTCTCAATATATCTATTGATATAGGAAAAGCATAAGACAAATCCAACAGCCATTCTTTTTTTTTAAGATTTGATTATTTATTTATTTATTTATTTATTTATTTATTTATTTGACACAGAGAGAGAGAGCACAAGCAGGGGGAGAGGCAGAGGGAGAAGGAGAAACAGACTTTCTGCTGAGCAGGGAGTCCACCATGGGGCTCAATCACAGAAGGCAGACACTTAACTGACTGAGCCACCCAGGCAACCATCCAACAATTCATGATTAAAACTCAGCAAACTAGGAATAGAGGGTTCCTCAACTTACTAAAGAACATGTACAAAAATCCTATTGCTAACATCATACTTAAGGAGAAAAACTGGATGCTTTGTCTCTAAGACTGGAAAGAAGGCAATGATATCCCCTCTTGCCATTCCTACTTGACATCATCCTGGAAAACCTAGCTAGTTTGAAATAACACAAGAAAAGGAAATAAAAGAGTATGTAGATTTGGAGGGAGAAAATAAAACTGTCTGTTTTCTAGTGACATCAGTGTCTATGTGGAAAATCCCAAAGAAACAATAACAACAAAACTCCTGGAAACAATAAAAGACTACTATAGCAAAGTTGCAAGTTAAAATTAATATACAGAAGTCAATTACTTTCCTATATACCAGCGATGAACATTGTAATTTGAAATTTAAAACAATACCATTTACACAAGCACACAAAAAATGAAATACATGGGTAGAACTCCAACAAAATCTGTATAGGGTCTAAATAAGGAATAGGCAGTCAGAGAAAGACAAATACCATACGATTTCACTCATATGTGGAATTTAAGAAACAAAACAATCATAGGGGAAGAAAAAGAGAGGCAAACCAAGAAACAGACTCTTAATTGTAGAGAACAGACTGATGGTTACCAGAGGGGAGGGGGATGGGAGGATGGGTGGAATCGGTAATCGAGATTAATGAATGTGCTTGTTGTGATGAGCACCAGGTATTGTATGGAAGTGTTGATTCACTATATTGTACACTGTATGTTAACTAACTGGAATTTAAATAAAAACCTGATAGATGATAGATAGAGAGATTAGATGATACATAGATGATGATGATAGATGATAGATAGATAAATAGATAGAACTACAAAACTGGTGAAAGGGATCAGGGATCTAAATAAATGTACACATAGGCATTATTCATGGATAGGAAGGCTCAATAGTGTTAAGATGTCAGTTCCACTGATTCTAAAGTTTACAAGGAAAGGCAAAAGACCCAGAATAGTCAACTCAATATTGAAGGAGAAGAACCATGTTGGAGGACTGATTCTACCTTACTATATAAAGCTACAGTAATCAAGAAAGCATGGAACTGGTAAAAAACAGACACAAAGATCCACGAAACATAATAGAGAACCCAGAAAAAAACCCACACAAATATACTCAACCGATCTATGACAGATAAGCAAAGGCAATGCGGTAGAGCAATGACTGTCTTTTCAACAAATGGTGCTGGAGCAATGAGGCATCCCCCCTGCAAAAAAAAAAAAAAATTACTCTAGACAGACCTTACACCTCTCACAAAAATTAGCTCAACTGGATTGTGGACCTAAACTTAAAACACAAAATCATAAACTTTCTAGAAGATAACAGAGGAGAAAATCTAGGTGACCTTGGGTTTGGAAATGATTTTTTTAGATACAACACTAAAAGAAGAATCCAAAACAAAATACTGGTAAGTTGGACTATATTTTAAAAATAAAAATTTTTCTGTGAAAAAGACTGCTAAAAAAAACACAGAGCCCAAAACCTGGAAAAATATTTGCAAACCACATTTATATAAAGGATTATATTCAAAATTTACAAAGAACTCTTACAATTCAACAATAAGTAGACAACTCAATTAAGAAATGGGCGTAAAGAGATGCCTGGGTAGCTCCATGGATTAAGCATCTGCCTTCCGCTCAGGTCTTGATCCTGGGGTGCTGGGATCAAGCCCTATGTTGGGCTCCCTGCTCCGCGGGGAGCCTCCTTCTCTCTCTCCCTCTGCCTGCTGCTCCTCCTGCTTGTGCTCTCTTGCTCTCCGTCAAATAAAAAAATCTTAAAAAAAAAAAAAAAGAAATGGGCATAAGATCTGAAAAGACACCTCACCAAAGCAGATATAGAGATGGCAAGTTAGCATATGAAATGATGCTGCAATTTGTTGAGTTACAGGGAACTGTAAATTAAAAAATGAGATAAATTATATGCCCATTAAAACAGGGAAAAAAATTTAAAATACCAAATGTTGACAAGGATGTGGAGCAACAGGAATTCTCATTCATTGCTGTTTGGAATGGAAAATGAAACAACCATTTAGAAAGGCATTTTGGCAGTTTCTTACAAAGCTAAACATAGTTGAACCATAAAATCCGGTAATCATGCTCCTAGGTATTTAGCCAATAGACTTGAAAACTTATGTCCAAAAATGACAAGATGAAAAAAATCACCTCAACAAAAAGAACAAGAGGTAGTACCATCTGCCAGGGACCTAATCAATAAGGACATTAGTGTGATGTCGGACCTAGAGTTCAGAAT